TTCATTTTCCAGAGAAGGAAATCAAGGCCCTGCAAGACTGAGTGACTTGCCCAAAATCACATGGCAACTGAGCAGCCAAGTCAAACATTAGATCTGGGTTGCCTGACTTGAGAGCCAAAGGTGTCATGACGAGACCACTAAGAAGGGACACAGTGAGTTTCCACGAACTTCGGATTCAGGCTAAGTGGGCACACTCTCTCCACGGGTGCTCGAGCAGCCCCGGCAGCTGCGACACAGGGAGACATCCCCGCGCCACAAGAAGGCACTGCAAACCGGGGTGCACGCGGAGGAGCAGAGCCCCGGCGGAACTCGGGCTCTGGATCCTCGACGGCTACTATAAAGAGGCCACGGGTAAACGTCCCAGGGAGGGGAGAAGCACCGGCTTGACAAAGTGGTGTGGCTTTATCTTTTTGTTAATAAAGGGGAGAAATTCAACAGCATTAAATGAGAATCATGCTGAGATTGAAGGCTCTTCATGCTAGCACTGCCGATCTTGAATAGGCAGCTCATATAAGCTTAACACGTGGCTCTCATTGAAAGAATTAACCTGTTGCCAAGTAAAGTGTCTCCAAGAACTGGAATGCTGTCAAACTAGCTCAACACCATGAAGTGGCACAGCTTAATGAGACTCTATAAATCTGGAGAAACACAACACAGAGCTCCCACTCCGAAGCCTGTGATCTTGCAAGAGGTCTGCTGTCTTTGCTGAGCGCACACACACAGCGGTGAGTGAAATGCTGTTAACTAAAAGCTCTTTTTTCAATTGAGCAGACTTCTCCCACTTTTCCCGCTACCTAATTCCTTCTGAATCATTTTATTAAATTAAAATTTTTTCAGTAAAAAAAAAAACTCCAAAACCTGAAACAGTCACGCTAAACAGTTTTCTTTAAACATATATTCATCCTCCTGAGATATAACACACATTCCCAAGAAGGGAGGCCCTAACATGAAAATAAAACCAAACAACCAACCAGGGGCTCAGTGCTGAATCTAAAAGATGGGAGAGGATATACTGATTCTTGCACATCAGCAACTGCCCTGAGGTCTACTCCAAACTGAGTATGAGAGGAGGGATGGAGAAGGGAAAGAGGAGGGAAACACCAGAAAGCTGTGGTCGAATGGACAAGGTAAGAGATCTAAATTCAGCAATATGTATTCCTAAGAAAAGCGGGACAGCTACTCACCTGTCTACTGCTTCCACATCAAAGCAAAACCTCTTCTCGATAGAGTCTGTTTTCCGCCGTGTGCAGGACTTGAGGGTGACTGACTCATCTTCTCCCTGTGGGGAACACACAGACCATCAAGATGAGGCCAGATCGTGGGCTCTGCTCCTCTCCAGGACAAACACAAACATCAGCAGGGTGATGACTTCATCTTCTCAAACCTGAGTGTTCACGCCCACAGGAGGTGGAAGGTGGATCACAAACCTTCTCAAGCAAGAGCCTCATGCAGCTAAAATCTGTAAGCCATGTTCTACTTAGAGCCAAACGTGCTCAGTATTGGTAGACCGTGATGGTACAGCATAACCCAGGCTAGATTAAACTCCTGCTGAGACTATTTTAAGTAGGTTTAATTTGTAGGTTTGGTAACAGTTGAAACAAGATGACCTTGAGGTCTCCTTCTATCTCTGAGCTTCTGTGATCTTGGTTCAGTGGTCACTTCTCAGGAAGACATTCCTAGACCAGGTCACGTTCTCCCAGACATGTTCACATAGCACCATGGACCCCTCCTTCCCTCATAGCACTGATCACAGCTAAACTTTTCTGTTGCTGTAAGTGATAATTCAAATACTATCTTTGTCCTTATTAGACTCCAAGCTCCCTGAGGGCATGCAGTGTCTGTTTTTGCTTACCCTTGTCCCCAGAGCTCAAACAGGCCCTGGAACAAAGCAGGTGTGCAACAAATATGTTTTAACAGCTTTACTGAAGTATGGCTAATGTGTAACAAATTGCACATGGTTAAGCATACAATTTATGAGTTTTGACATCTGTACATATACATGAAATCATCACCACAATCAAGGTAATGAATACTCCGTCAGCCCCGGGTATCCCTCTACAACGCACCACCCCTCCACCCAGTCCGTTCCCAGGCACACATTCAATCTGCTTTCTGTCACTACAGATTAGTCCACATATTCTGTAACTTTATAGACACGGAATGCCCTTTCATGTCTGATTTCTTTCACTCAGCATAATTCATTTGCAATTCATTCACATTGTACGAATCAAGAGTTTGTTTTGATATTATGTGACTGACAAGCGGTTATATCCAAATATATAAGCAACTCATTCAACTCAGCATCAAAAAAATAAACAACTCAATTAAAAAATGCGCAGAAGATCTGAACAGACATTTTTCCGAAGAAGACCTGTAGATGGCCAACAGGCACGTGAATAGATGCTCAACATTGCTAAATATTAGAGAAATGCAAATCAAAACCACAAGGAGATATCACCACACACCTGTCAAAATAGCCATCATCAAAAAGATCACAAATAACAAATGCTGGCAAGGATGTGGAGAAAAGGGAACCCTTGCACACTGTTGGTAGGGATATAAACTGGTGCAGCCACTATGGAAAAGAGTATGAAGGTTCCTCAAAAGACTAAAAATAGAACTATCAAATGATCCAGCAATCCCACTCCTGGCTATATATCCAAAAAAAAAAAATGAAAGCATTAATTTGAAAAGATACATGCACCCCAATTTTCACAGCAGCATTATTTATAATAGCCAAGATATGAAAGCAACCTAAGTGTCCATCAACACATAAATGGATAAAGAAAATGTGATATGTGTGTATGTGTATGTGTGTGTGTGTGTGTGTGCGCGCACGTGTGTGTGTAAAACTACTCAGCCATAAAAAACAATGAAATTTTGCCATTTGCAACAACATGGATAGATTTGGAGGTTATTATGTCAAGTGAAATAAATTAGACAGAGAAAGACAAATACTGTATAAAATCACTCACACGTAGAATCAAAAAAAATGAAACATATATGAACATGACAAAAAAGAAACAGACTCAGAGTACAAATTAGTGGTTTTCAGTGGGCAGAGGGAAGGGGTTGGTGCAAGCTAGGGGTAGGGGATTAAGAAGTACAAACTACTATGTATAAAATAAATAAGCTACAAGGATGTGTTGTACAGTGCAAGGAATATAGCCAATATTTTAAATAACTATAAATGGGGTACATTTAAAAACTGAATCACTGTGTTATATACCTGAAAACTTACATAATACTGTTTAATATAAACAATAACTATCTCAATAAAAAATAAACATAAACATTAAAACAATAGAGGTAATTTTTAAAATCCATGGAACAAAAAAAAAGTTTCTTTCTTTTTACTGCTGGGTAGGATTCCATTGTACGAATGGAATGCAACAGTTTTATCACATAGCACTAATTTACAGCCTAGAAACATAGATGTTTCTGTCCCTGAATTTCCTCTCTTTCAGTCACGTAAGAATTTCTTAGGGTCCTATTTTGCCTATATCTGCCGATCTCTCTTTCTAAACTAGGGGGAAATTAGCAAACTTGCCTAGTTTGTTGCATAATAGGAAATGTGACTGCGTATGGTAAAACTTGACCACCCACTAATATCAGGATAGCACACAAAACACAGAAGACCTAGGAAGAGACAGTTTGTATTCACAAGCCTTCCATCTATTGTCTTCTCCTGAATGGCTAAGATGAACTTCTCAGATTGAGAACTGCTCCTTCTGCAATGCGTAAATGTATGAGCGTAAACGCCCAAATATATGAGATTCTGACCTTGGTGATAACTAACTCTATTTCTGATTTAATGGTATTGGACCAGCTCCCCCTTGGAATGCTTAAGGGGAGGTGTCCCTGAGAAATAGGAGAAAACAGGGGATCTATAAAAGGTTCTCGAATATAAGCAGAAAAAAGAGGAGAATGTGATTCTGTTCCAAAGATGACTGCGTTACATCAGGAAAAATCTATCAAGACAATCTGTTCAACTACTGTGGTTTAAAAAAGTGGGGGGCAGGGATGGAGATAACAATCACTTAAACAAATAAATGAAGAGTTACAACCCTGACAAACACTACAATAAAAGAGGCAGATTGCACAACAAAAGCCTACATTAAGGGGATGTGACCTGGTCAGGAAGGTCAGCAAAGGATTTCTTGGGTTGGACTCGCAGGATCCACAGGAGATAAAACCAGAAGCACAGACTAGGGTGAGAACAGCAGGTGGAAAGGCCCTGTGGTCAGAGTCCAAGGAGCCCTGGAGAAACTGAAGGGAAGCTGCTGTGTCTAGAATCCCAGAGCGAGAGGGAAAGTGGACTGGGAAAGAGTTTGAGGGAGGCAGGGACCAGATCACGCAGATTGTGGCGTGTATCCTGAGAGCACTGGGGAAATAATGAAGGGTTTCCAGCCAGGGACCGGACAGGGTCAGCGCTGGGCTGCTCCAGGCCTCCCACAGAGAGGGGCCTCATCTCAGAGGGCAGGATGTGGGAAATTCTCTTTTACCACATACAGGGCTGGTCTGCAAGAGGACAGAGGAAATCTGCTCACATCTCCTGGACTGAAGTAAGAGAAAAGTGGATACTTTTAAAGAAAATAATCCAAGTGAAAGGGACAGGGAAGGAGAAAGACGGTAGAGAAAAAGTATGTTAGGAAAAGAAAATATCCCAATTATCTATGTTAAGTCTACCTCCAGCTCCTAGGAATGCTTCGTACAAACACATATACAAAGATGTCATGATTCTCCTGTATAAACTGAAAAGACATCACCTCTGCCCAGCCAGTCTTCATGCTTTCTCCACCCTGAGGCCGAGGAAATAGAGTGGTGTTATAGAAAGCCTTTCTATATATGTATACAATTTTTCTACTTTATCATGATTGGGCTCAGAATGAGGAGACACAGACTCCAGAATCAGGGTTACAGCACTGGTTCTAGGAATTCATTCACCGTACGGCCTTAAAAATCATTTTCTCTCTCTCACCTTGAATCCCCTCTTTTGTAAAGGAGGAGACCTGGATCAAACAGGATGGCAAAGGACAATAAAAGGACTAAGAAAAATATAAAACATAATATAAATGTAAGGAATTATTCCTAGGAAAATTATTTAGTACTGTGTTGGGCTCTGTCCCAAGAAGCTTATACACACTAACACATGTAAACCTCTTAACGACTCAGTGAAGTGTTGACTGTTATCTCACTGAAGCCCAAGGAGTCCCAAACACCCACCATAGCTGGTCTCTGCCTCTTACTTTCAAGCGTGATCAAAAGGAAGATGAGAAAATACAAAACAGTTCTTCATTCAAGCCTTAGAAGTGCACAAGATAATAAGACCCAAAATAAAGGCTGTGAGAGAATAATCCAGTAAAGCCGATTTCTAGAAGGACTAAGAGCTGGAAAAGGACTGTGACTCGACCCAAGAAAGACAGACCTAACTCCATTTCCCTTTCATGAATAATAGGGGACACCTATTAATACAGATTTTTTAACAGGGCTTCTAACTGCAGAATTTCTCTATGTTTTGACAATTTAATGTCTCTTTTTCTGAGATTATTTACGTCAACTTCACCCTTGACAAGACACAATGAAAGAGCCTTAGCTTTTCTCGCTTTGATAAAAGGAAGGACAGAGATGCTGATCAACTCCTGTGTTGCGGCTTAATGAAAAAACCAGTTAGAAAAACTGAAAGTGGAGGAGAGCAAGGGTGCAGCATGGGGGAGTAGCTAAGAGTAAAGACAACAGTGTCTAACGTCACTGACCCAGACAGTCTAACTTCAGAGCCAGGGCTTGTAGCCTCTGCACTGTGGTGCCCACACAATGTGCAAACACAAAAAATGGGGTGCACAGAAATGCACCACAGAGAAGAGGGCCAGGCTTGGCATACTCACAGAGGACTAAGTTATCAACAGATGAGACACAGCCGAAAAATTATTTAAACTAAATGTAGAGAAGAATGAGAGAAATTATCCAGAACAGAGTTCAGAGATTCAAACAAATGAAAAATATAAATATTTTAATTTAAAATATTTAAGTATTTCCAGAAGGAGATCATTAAAAGAATGGGAAGGGGAACAAAATTCAAAATGATAGTCAGTGAGAACCTTCCAAAATTACTGAAAGATACCGATCTTCCAACCCAGAAAGGCCCTGAATCCTAAGCACAACAGATTGAAAAAAAAAAAAAAACTACACAGAGAGAACCATCATAATGAAATGCAGAATTTCAAAAAGGGGAAAAAAGAAAGAAGAAGATATAATGAACAGCCAGAGAGGAAAGACAGATCACCTAATGAGGAAATGCAGACAGAATGAATGCTCCGGGACACAGCCAGGAGGGCCCACCAGCGGCAACGACCCCGCAGAGGCACCCTGGCTGTCTCTTCCAAAGGCGGCCCCGGGAGTGTCTCCCATCCCACACGCTTGTCAGCGCAACGTGCCTTTGCTGCTCCTCCTATCAAGAGGCAGGTCTGTGACCTCTCACACTGAAACTGGGTGCGCTTGGCTGGGCTTTTATGACTATTTAACCAACACAGGGCCAATGTGAGGCAATATGACTTCTAAGAGAGGTCAGTAAAAGGCGATGTAAGGTCTGCCTCTGTTACTGGAACACTCACTCTTGAAACCTTTAACTGCCCTGAGGCCGCCATGCTGTGAGGAAGCCCAGACTGGCCCATGTAGAGAAGCCAGATGGACAGGCTCTGAGAGTACACAGAACAAGAGGGAAAGAGGAAGAGAAGGAGAGAGGAGGTCAGGACAAAGGAAGAGAGATAGATCTGACCAGCCCAGAGCTGCTTCAAACACTTACTATTCCAGCTCTAGTCACCATCTGATTGGAACCTCACGAGAAGCCTTGAGCCCAAACCATCCATCCAAATGCTCCGCAAGTTCCTGACACACACAGAAACTGTAAGAAATGCTGAAACGATTGGTGTCGTTTTAAAAGTTGCTGCCTTTTTGGGTGGTCTGGTACACAGCAACAGATAACTGGAACATCTACACTAACAACTGGCAGCCCTCTAGGCACCAGGTGACAATGACAAGAACCAGCTTCACAAGGCGACGTCATCCAAGAATTTCCAGCATCTAAACACACTAACACTGTATACATGTGAACTACAAGCATCTTTCCTAACTGCAGTTCCTAATGTAACTTAGAGCTAAGAATAATCATCTTGTTTTAGTTACTTTTTTGGGTGCCATGCCTCCTGGAACTACTGTATAAAAATTAAGAAAATTACAGCAAAACATTAGCGGTATTACTTCATGCATGCATTATACTCATCATATGTTAGCTGAGCAAATCAGACATGAAATTTAAAAATGAACTCACCCCCTTTCCTCCTGACTTTTGGTCAAATGGTACCATGGTGATTTGTTTGGAATCCCGTTGATATGTACAGTAGTGCTTCACCCACGAAGTTCCAAAGTGACCTGCAAGGTAAGATTCCCCATAAATCATCTCTACACATCCACTGCATGCAGGAAAAACACACAACCAGTAACCCACAATGCTCACTATCCTTAGTCCCTAAACTGTTTCTAGGGGCAAAACATTCTCCATAGCAGCTGGAATGGAACAGACAGAAATCCGATCCCACAGGCTGGAGATGGAGCTGGACCAGGGCTTTCCCCAGTGACCAAGGTAGACGGTTTCCACTAACTGCTGCAGCCAACGGGTCTTAAAAAATAAGGAAAGCAGAGGTTCCCTGGGGAAATTAAATTCACTTTCCCATCATCAATCTCCATCTGAAGTTTCCTTTCTCTCCCCTGACAGGAGTAAGATGACTGAAGAAAGAGCACAGAAAGGCTCCTCAAAGTGCTTGTCTCCGTTCCCATCTGGCCCGATGACTTCATGCTTCCCACACAGCTGCTCTGTGACCGTGTGCACAGACGCACAGGGGTTCTGACCCACTTCCAAACCCCTCGTTTTTATTTTAGCAGAACTCAAGATCGGAAACGCAGACAAGCAGAACTCTGAGACACCAGAAATGTGAAACGGAAGTAACTATAAATGCTCAAATGGAATCTAAGGAGTTTGTCCCTCAAAATTATCCCTCGGGAAAAAAGCCAGTGCCCTGCAGTCAAATACTGACAGTCTCTGACATTACCGGGTGCCTGGCCAATTACTTTATTTTTGAACAAAAAAGTAGCATTCGAGGAAGAAGGAGGCATGGTTCGTATTATTAGCAAGGTCCTCAACCAATACTAGTCCTAGATGCTTAGCTCTAGATCACATAGATATGGTCAAAAAAACCAAAAATAACAACACGAAAAGAAATTGAGCAGGTACTAGATAATCATTTTTCAGGCCGTGAATGCCCATCACAAGTGTTGGATGTCACTTAGTAAACTTACAAGGCAATACATTGGAGAATCAAGGACAAATGGAAATACCAAGTATGCTAAGGTATTTCTCTGGCTAAGAGAATAAATTCCAGTGATGGCACAAGACAAAGATTTCAAAAGTGTTGTATCCTGGACACTTTGAGCATCAAAATAAATAATAAAGACAGTAATGTATGTAGCCTACTGAACAAAATGGGAACCCATAAGTCCATACTGATGAAGGAAGGAAGGAAGGAAGGAAAGAAGGAAGGAAGGAAGTGAGTCCAATGAGGGAAGAACACGGTCTTAAGGTGTCTCCCCACAGATTGCTAACCACTACAAGGGGAACAGAGTGACTGCACAGTGGGGAAACCAGAACATACCTTGATCAAATGATCAAAATTAACAAGACCATGGCAGGGCAGAGGGCCATCCTTTGCTCTGGATGTGGTACCCGGGAAGAACACAGAATTACTCATGTAGGATTTGACCAGAGATGCTCGACCTGAATCTAATCATAAGGAAACATCAGGCAAAGCCACACTGAACAAAATTCTATGAAAGACCTGGCCTGTATTCTTCAAAAACATCAATGCCTTCAAAACCAAAGAAAATGTGAGGAACTATTCCAGATTAAAGGAGACTAAAGTTGTCATATGACAACTAAATGCTATATAAGATGCCGTACTGGAGGAAAACGAAATGCTTTATGAGGGCATCACTGGGACAACTGACAAACTGGGTGTGTGGAACGTCATTTAGATTAAATATCTTACAATGCTAAATTTCTTGGATATGGTAACTGTGGTTACATGACAGAATATTTTTAGAAAATGTACACTGATGTAAAAGAGCATAATGTGTGCAATCTGTTCTCAAATGGCTTAGAAAAAATTTAAACGTGTGTGTGTGTATCTGTGACTGTGATGTTCACACACGCACCCAGACTGAGAGAGAAAGAATGATCTAATTGTGGAAATACGGGAAAAATCAGTGAGTCTGGGTTAAGGTCACATGGTTGTTCTTTATATTATTCTTAAAACTTTCTGAAAGTTTGAAATTATTTCAAAATAGTAAGTGACAAACACTCCAAACAAACAAACAAGAAAGCTGTATCCTAATGATATGCTCTGAACTACTGGGTTAGAGAATCAAAATGTGTTTCTAATGATAATCGAGACATTAGTGCTGAGAGAGTGCATGAAGTGTTGGAATAAAACTGAATAAGGCAGTGGGAGAGCGCTCACACCGACTTAACCTGTAAGTGACCATTTAATAAATTAAGTATTGTAAGTGGACACTGAACTGTATTTTTGTAGCCCAAAAATTTACATTTTCAAGTTGACTTAAAACTTTCTGGGGCACTCTTCTCATTGGGCAAAGAAGATCTCACCACCTATGCAGGTGTAACACAACTAAAGCAGCTTCTGTCTCTTACAAACCTTAACAAGCTCATCCCCGTAAGAATAAGGGACATAAAACTCTCTTTCACGCCTGATGCTCCGACCTCCAACCCCATTACTACACCACTGTCAGCAGGGAGCAATTTTAAGCCCAAGCGAATTTTTGAGTAATCGCTAAGCAAAATAACCACTGAAACGAGTGTCCTGTTCCCTCAGAAAGCCTCCGGGAGTCCAGAGATGTGTCTAGCACTGAATCATCAGTGCCCAGGCAGAAAGCATGGCTGGGAGACTACAAGAACTACCTGTCAAAGAAAAGAGAAAAGCACTTCCTGTAACCCCTAGCAGGGCACACACGAATGAAGTCTGGGGGTGCTACAGCCCAGTGCAAGAACCTCTGGGTCATCAGTGGGAACCCTGGGTTAGCAGCACCTGTCAATTCTTTCCCTGACGTATATGGGCCAGCCCATGGGTCTTCTTCCTAGCTCTTGGGATGAGCTTTTGTTTCTACTTTTTATAAAATGTAAGTGTTAGGATAATAGGAGGTGAGGGCAAGAGGGAATGGGCCCAAGTCATAATTCTCTGGGCGCTGCTGAGACAAGTCTCAAGGGAAAACAAAATCACCCACTGGGAAGTCCACCAAAGGATGTGACCGCCGACAGACAGCAAGGCCCAGCGCTGCAGACCTCTCCAAGGCCTCTACGCCCAGGGTGTGGTTTGTACAGTGACACTGAGGGTACAGGAACCTCCAGAGTAGGGCGACACCAGGGAGAGAAGTAGCGCCGTGGAGCCTCGATGGGCTCCCGGCTGCAAAGGGATTCCCAGTTACAAAGAAAGCACGATACATCCCTTGGAGGTAGACAAAGACCTTGTGGACAGCAACCTCCCCTTAGGAAACTGGACTATGAAATCGCTCTCCTTCATCCAGACCTGTGCTCCAGACCAGGCACTAAGGATCCAAATACACCCTCCACCTCCTGGGCCAAAGGCACGGGTCCACCCAGGCTGCTGGCCAGCCCGGCACTCACGCTTCTCCTGGACGTAGAGGTACCCTTCCATGGTGTAGGGGCTGACGGTCTTGTGCTCGAGGGGGTTCTCCTTCATCTTCTTCATCAGCGCTTCCACTTCCGACCTGGTGCCTTCAAAGCGGTTTCTTGTCTAGGATGAAAGGAATTTTATTCAAATGGAAGAAATGAAACGTTGTTCCTATCTCTAGTGATTCAGAACATCAACCCACAGAATCCTTAGAACTAAAACCGGATAAGGAACATTCAGCCATCCAGGAATTAGGCAAATGTTCACTTTTAAAAACTATACTTCGGCCTTAAAAGTCCTATACTAGAATGACCCTCAGACTTAAGGGATCGTCAAAATCACCTGGGGAACTGGCAGAAAATGCAAACGACCAATCCTCACCGCCAAAGGTAAATTTAGTACCTCTCAACCCAGACATGCACACTGTCAACAGGCACCCCAGGCGAAGCTGACTCTGATGGTCCACAGGAGGGGGGCCCCCCAGCTCCCTCCAGGAAGGAGATACTTTTCTCAGCTGTTTGTTGATGGCTCACAGAATCCCCTCCTGAAATGGAGCTACTTCACGTAAGGTTACTCCCTCCCCCAGGGCAGCCTGCACCCAGTAACCAGAGGCCAAGGGCCAAAGAAGGAGGGTCAGGGGCCCAGGCCTGTGCCAGGGGGCCCATGACGTCAACTGGGGCCTCTGTGGAGACTGCCTCACCACTCACAGGTATTTTGGCTGACACTGCCTCCTGTAAACCTGCTCTGTGTACACCTCCACCGCAGAGGCTGCCTTCTGAGGAGCCAGGCCCAAGGGGAAGCCGGGCTCTGCGAAAGCTCATCCAAGACTCTTCAACTTTCTGTTCTCTGAGGCCACTCAGAGAAGCATGGGGGGTGCGGGGGGCGAGCTCAGGCTTCTAAAAACATGTAGCACACCTCCCATGGGAGCACTTGGGTTTCCTCGGCCACGGGATCATCCAGAGACAAAGACAACAGGCAGACTAACGTGGCCCAATCACACAAGGAAGGAGGGCATTCGAGCCCCAGTAACTGCAAACCAGAGTCCTAAGCAGGGTTCTGTGCACCCAAAGGTCCCACTGTTAACAATTTGGGGAAGGAAATTGGGAGTAAGGCGCACTGGCTTGGATTTCCTGGCTGCCCCAGGGCGGGTTGAACAGGAGCACATCCTCTGAGCTGGAGGCCAGCACATGGGCTCCATCCCCAATCCCTGAACACACACTGTAAGGTTTCTTGTGGCCAGACAGCTGGATGCACAGGAGGGAGGCTGGGCCGGGCTGGGTGGGGCTGGGATTCCACTGCCAAAGGAAATCCTGACTCTGGTGCTAGGGATTTAAAACATAATCAGAGCAGCACTTCCGAGAACATAAATAGTGCTTTGAAATAACGGAGGAGAGGATGACGCTCTAACCTGGGACCACCCAGCACCCTAGCAATGCCTGCCCCCCACTTCCCTTTGAACTCGAACAAGGCCCGTCCTCCCCATCTGCACTCCCAGCCATTTAAGTGATCTCCAGGCACCCAGACCCGTACTTAACCAGGGAGAGGGAGCCTATCCCCTCGCCCACTCACGTTCTGTATGCTAATAGTCAACTGCATCTTGAAGTCGTTGAAGTCCTTGGCCAGCTCATAACCGTGGTGGTAGAAAGTGAAGAGCCCTTGTAGGAATGCTAGTAGCTGTAACGAAGGCAGAAGGGCAGAGTTCACATAAGCAGGTTCAAGAGGCATTACGTAGCTGTATCTGAGTTCCCAGCCCTGGTTTGAAAGTCTAGAATAAAATAATAATAATGGCTAGTGCTTACAGAGCACCTCTTGTACCTCAGGCATAGGAACTCTACGTGCCCTGTCTCATGGAATATTCCTAACAACCCATGAAAGGAGGACTAATGTTCCTCCATTCTACTAATGGGGAAGCAGATTCAGAGAGGTTAAGTCACTTGCCCCAAAACACACAGTTAAGTGGCAGCCAGCATTTGAAACCAGGTCTCCTTGGTACAAACAACCAAGCTCTTATCCTGTGAGCCTCAATGCCTCCTAAGAAAATCACTTCTTCAGAAATTGAAGGCCAGGGCTCCAACTCAGTCTCCTTCTAGTACATTCGTAGTGTCAGGTTATCTCGTAGAAGAGTGTGGTTATGTTGATAACCAACACGGAAGGGAAAGAAAAGGAAGCTGGTGTGCCCTGAGTCTGCAGTCTAACAGGCAAAGTCAGGTCAATCTAGATAAGACGTCAGCTCAAGTGTGTTTCTGCACTTTCTCTCAACTATCCAAAAGTCAACATTCTGGATTCCTTTCTTAAAATAATGCCACGTTCCCATATTTTCAGTTGAGATGGTTTCCCGAAATTCTCATTTAAAGTGCCTC